GACAATATAAGGCAGTTCCCCAGAAAACTCTTGTTTACATGGATGGTTAATACAACTACTTATTTGTGCACATTAATTAGGTTTCTGATAAAAAATATTTGGCTAAAATGCCATCAGAACACTTATAATATTAAGTGTGTCTTCTCAATTCAGAGGGCCCCCTGCCTTACTTTGCCTAGGGCCCCAACTTTCCTAAATCCGCCCCTGTTGGACCTTAGTGCGTGTCGTGCTTCAGTGTGTCCTAGAGAGAAAACCCACCTCTGTACCTCCGTCTCTGCTGTGGGAACCTCCAGACAGCCCCGCTGTCAGGGCCACATGCTGATCAAAATAATCATACGTCACATCAGCATCCTCCACCTGCACCTTGGGTGACGACTCAAAGTCACTGAGGTCTGTCATTCCAGGGGACCAGTCTGACTCCTTGCTTTTGTGTGCAGAGCCTTTCTGTGGGTTGTAAACCACCGGTGGTCCAAATGCCTGGTAGCGCGCATAGAAGCCCCTGTAAGGCGGGTCAGGCCAGCCGCCGATCAGTACCACCACATACAGAGTGTTGGACGAGGACGTGAATTTGGCCTCCTGCCAGCACTTCTGCAGCACCTTGTGGCCCCCTGATTGGGCACCAGGCTCATCCACATGGATCTGGTCCTGTTTCAGTTGGCAGACCTCATCAGGGGTCAAGTCCTCCAAGCGGAGATGAATCCTCTTCCCCGGATCCACCCGAATGGTCCAGTTGCACCACAGAGGAGGGTTGGAGCACAAGTAGTCTGGGGAGAAAAACTCACCGCTGTCGCTTTGCAGCAGCTGGTGGCAGCTTCGCAGGGCGAAGAAAGCGCTGCGATCCCCTTTAGGTTCATCTGATGACGAGATAAAACACAAATCCACAGTGTCTGACCAAAATATTCCAAAAACAAGAACTTATTTTGTCCCATGTCAACCACAAATGTACATTTCTGTGGGGCTTTACGTGGCAGCGCTACATTAGTGGGGGATTTACCATTAGGCAATACTAGGCAGTTCCCTAGGGCCCCATAAAAGTCAGTTTATACGTATGGTTAATGCAACTACTCCTTATTTGTGCACATTAATTAGGTTTTTGATAAAAATTATTTTACTAAAATGCCATCAGAATGCTGATAATATTAGGTGCGTCTCAGCCCCCCCCCTCTTCAGTGTCCACCATATTGGATCAGTCCATTTATGCCCCCCTCAGTGTCCACCATATTGGATCAGTCCATTTGCTGCACATGTTCAGAAAGGTCCAAACAGACAGCAGCAAACCATTTAAAAATAATGGATGCAAAGAGCAGTGTTGCTAACTTAGCACTTTAGTTGCTATATTTAGCCACTTTTCAGACCCCTCTAGCACTTTGATNATATTACAAACATCTTTTCTTAAAAGGCTGTTTTAAACCAAACCTTTTTATTCTTTTTGATGAGAGGGACGGTTTTGTTTGAAGAGCTTCCAGCTGTTTGCTGATCTACAGAGATACAAACATTATGAGAGGCCATTAGAAATCTGTCAGGTCCTGTTTATCATGTTTGGATCAGTTTTCCAGCATACCAAAGTCTTGACTGACAGCAGCAGCAGCCGAGCCAGGTTGTCCCAGGATTCCTCCACATTGTGACTGAAAGTCACCTCAACAGCCACTTCAAACAGGTGATCTGCAAAGAGACCCATAACACTGCAACGGCTGTCAAACGACCCCAAAAAGTGTCCAAGAAGTCAGGTTTATACAACACATAAAAACTGTAATAAAATCTTATTTAAATAAAAAAATTCCGACTTAAAATATTCAAAGACGACCTAAATATTTTTATTAAAGTATGAACTGTCCACTGTACTCACCACCAGGCAGATGGGGACTCTCAGACTGATTTTTCATGTTCACTGAGACAGACGGAAACAGACTTTCAGATTAAAGAACTAAACAGTCAGTTTGTGGTGCAGATGTTTAAACCATTCAAGCCAACTTTAACTAAAGAACCATTTTAGAAAGAGGAAAACTGACCAAAATAATTAACAACCAAACAAAAGTGAAAATCTAAAAGTATATAAAAATATGTAACACCACCCCCATATCATCAACTTTTGCCAATATTGCAGCTTTGAGTTTTGACCGATACCACCATCGACCCAGCTGGATATTAGCACAAATCCTTCCTACTTTCATTATTAATTTTTTAGTGTGGAACGCTGGAGTGGAATGCTTCTCTTCATTGCCTTCCTGTTAAGTCCTCCTCATATAAAGCCTTAAATGGCCAAGCTCCATCTGATATCAGAGATCTGATTGTTCCTTATGTTCCTAACAGAGCACTTCGCTCTCAATCTGCAGG